TGATATTTGACAGATAACTTAACCTTTGTAATTTAAATTATTTCATCAAAGAAATGAATTATTTTATTATAGAAATTCTTGGTTTTACTATTAGTAATCTTGTATTTCTTTTATTACGGCATAATGTAATCCTAGTATTTGTAATCCTAGTAACTACTAATTTATTGTGCAATTTTTATAAATGTTTGTAATAAATAAGAAAAAATTATATTTTTATTAACTTAGAAGCGACGGGTGAGTTTCAAAGGAGGACGGATACATTGATGGACAAGCCGTCCTCGGGGACGGGTAAAATTTCTAAGTTTTTTCGACCCCTGCTCAGTACTATTTTATCTTTTGATGACTCATTACGGGAGATGTCGTCTGCTTTTTTTTTTTTTTTTTTTTTTTTTTTNTTTTTTCGTCGTCAATATTTGATTGACCAATACCCTTGCAAATGTGTTCTGTTCCCTCACCTTTTTCAATTCCAGCTGCACTTGTTCTTTAGTTTGTTCTTTTGCTAAGAGATCGTTTTGTTTAATCTGTTCTTATAATAATGGCCAGCGTTCGTATCTCGTTCTTCCTTTAATGTTCGGGAAATAGATAAAAAAGCTAAAAATCCCTGGAGATGGGAATGGCTGGAAAAACAAATTGAAGGTATATATTTGCGCGAGTGTTTTAGAAAATTGGATAAATGCGGTGTGTGCTATTGTACCGTCTGCGGCAAGGAGTTGGCATACGGATCCAGAGGATTTGTTACACTTACGGACCATGTTAAATCCTCAAAGCACAAGTCATTTCTTCAGATACGGAAGGAGCATTTTTCACTACCTGGTAAGTTGATTTAATCCTTTTTTTCTTCATTTTCTTTAATTAGCTTATTTAGTTTTACATTTTATAAGTATTTATATTTAATTATCAACTTTTAAATATTATAAATTGGTTTTGTAAGTCCTGGTGATCGAAATCAGAATATGATGACATAATCGCCAGAAACAAAACTCGTTAGCAGAAAGTTTTTCTACTGTGATGCTTTGAAATATTTCTAGAAAAGGGTGCTGCCTCTTAAAAAGAATTTTTTTTTTCAGCTCGGTATTATCTTTATCTTGACTTTGAACAATAGCGTTGAAATGGGAAATTATATTAACTGCGGACAAGAGATATCTTTTATAAATTGTTTTCTATTATATAGAACTACATTGTCTGGAATAGTTTTCTTCAGAAAAACAAAAACAAATCAGAGACTTATTCAGGAATTTTTTTCTCTCATTCTTAAAAACGAAACCTCATCGCCAGAAACAAAACTTTCCTTTGCAAAAAAAATTTCAACATTGATGGCATGGAAATATATTACAGTAGAGAACCGATTATCCGGAATTGGATAACGGGTTCTGTACTGTATTATAATAGTAAAAAAGTGCAGCTTTATAAAATGTTATTTATTTCTTACGTGGTCTAATGAAATGGCTTTGAACATCGTGCTCAAGTGGAAAGTTACACATTAACTGCGGACAGACTAAGGGGCAGCGGTTCGCAAAAGGGGTTCCGATTAATCTTAGGGTTCCATGAAAGATGTTCCACTAGTTAGTACTTTTTATAACCAGTGATGAGCTTTGAAACCTCTAATTATATTTAGATACAATCTAAAATTCACTATTTATTTAATATTTCGGTTCACTTTATTAAGCCAATATAATGGAAATTGCAATTTTTAAAAGATAATATAATTCTTATAGCAATATATTGAACAAATTATGAATAAGAACAAGCATTTATGAAATATTACATTAACACTTCCTATCGTGCTTTTCAAAATAAAATGAAATTATTTTTTAATAAGGAAATAAGGTTTCCCTAATAGCCATTTTCAACAGCAGTTTTCATATCAAATTAAATCATAATTCTACTTATTTTATTCATTCATGTATACACACCAAAAGAAAATTCATAACTAAACTCGATATAGAACAAGGACTGCAAATTTAATTGTCGAAAATAAAATCTAATAAGATTATTAATGATAGATATAACGATGAAAAATCTTCATTCCTCTAATTAAATATTTTAAACGTAGTTTTTTAAGGGTTATAACGTTCACAATTATTTTAATAAACAATAAACTGTATTTATATAGTCGGTGTTCCGCCGGAACAAGGGTGATTATGTGCAAAACACTTTTTAAACTTTTTAAATTTTAATTAATTGGAGAGAAAAAAATACCTGAAATTTTGGCAAGAAAAAATTATGTAGATATCATTTATCCACAGAATGCCATCAACGTTTTAATAAAAATATCGATGCAATATTTTATTTGTTTTTATGTAAAAGAAAATGTGGGAGTGGGGGTATATTTCTCCCTGTTTGTGGAGATAAAACTAATTTCTTCCGTGACCTTAAAGATCGTTAGGTCAAGAGGGGCAGGGAAGGAAGGACTGTTTTATTTTCACTTGTTTTTCTGATAAGCTGCCGTCAATCAAACATGGCATGCTGAATTCGTTTTCTCTTTGATTTACGCGGGGGTGGGAAAAATATATAGCACATGCATATCAGTGAACAGAAGATGAAAGAGAAATATTAAAAAGAAAAAAAAAGCATCCCAATACTTTACTAAGAAAAAGTAAAATGGAAATACAAATATTAATCGGAATACCAAAACGAATTAAATATGGCTATTTTTTATTCAATAATACAGTAGGAATAATAGTTAAGATGAATTGAATCATCTGAAAAATAATCAGAAGAATTTAATAAATTTATTCAAAACATAATTGGCTATGCTAGAGGGGGAGGAAATTGTTTCTAAGTTTACTACTATTATAATTCATCCAAATAAAATGAATAAATTTTAATATCATCTGCTTTCGTTAAAAATCGTCTGCTTTTATAAAAAAGAAAAGAAGATTGTTTATTATCTAAACATATAATTATTTATTACTAATGGCAGGTGATTATTTTACAGCTTTTTTTTTTTAAATTTTTTTTTTTTATTATTTTAAAGTGATACATTTCTGATTTCACTGCGTATTAGGTTTTTTTTTTTTTTTTTTTCACCTTTCGCAATAAATTAGTTCTTTTTATTCATGAAGTTTAAAATTTAGCTTCTTTTTTTTTTTTTAAATCAGTTGATTTCATAATATTCTGTGTTAATATTTTTGTTAGCGCTTTTTCTAACTATCGTTCCGTTTGGTAATTTTCAAGAGTTCTTTTCTGATTAATAAGTTTTATTTTTTTGTAGTTTTCTTTTTTCTTTATAATTAGATATGAAATATATTGCGTATTTTTAATCGAAGTTTTGTGTTATATTAGTTAACTAGCTGAATACGGGGTGAATAAAAAATTTGTAAAGAATCAATAAATCGAAATAGAGAAGCACTATTATGCTCACAACTGAAAAGCATATACTGACTGACACAATTAAAGATGGAAGAACCAGATAAGTGACATATTTAGGAAAATATTGAATCACTGCTTTTGTCTTTTAAATCTTAACAGAACTAATGACATAAATTTTTAGTAAAGCGCGTGGTATCAGATAAAGCATAAATTTAGTGACATAGACCACATGCGCTACCATGTAATGTTTATTAAATTTATTTGACGTAGCGAATATAAAATAATTAAATATTTTTAAATACATAATTAAATATTTAGGAGAGCTTTTTTTTTCTTGTTTTAAAATGTGTTACTTTTGTTCTTTATAATTTGGGTGTGATAAAACATCGATTAACAACACTTTTTGGCCGATCCAGAAAACCGGGAAATTCAGATATCCGGGATAGCAATATTTCTCTACTGTATAAATAAATTTAATGTTCTATTATTTATTTTATGTTTCAATCTTTTAGGAAGTGGGGATTCCAAAGCCAAAGGAACTGAAGTTCTATATGGTTTACATCCAATGTTCACGGCTTCTCAAGCAGTTGCTGAAGTGAGTTTGCCTCAAACATCAACACCACTCAGTGACAGAATTATAAATTCTGAAGCAATGCTCCTTGGATTTCTGGCCGAAAAATCTCTGCCATTTTCTCTGGCAACAGACCTTCTCCAACTGGTAAAAGAAATGTCAAAAGATGGAAAAGCACTTAATCAGGTTAAGATGCATCGAACTGCTGCGTCTTATAAGATGAGATTTGGTGTTTCTAAAACTATAAAGGATGAACTTTTTGAAGATTTACGGCAACAATTCTTCTCTTTGAATGTAGATGAGAGTACAAGTAGCAATGATCACAGAATCGTAACTGTGCTAGTAAATTATTTGAACAAAGAGAAAAAAATTGTGACTAAACATTTGTCTTCATTCTCAGTTGATAAGGTTAATAGTGAATCTATTTTTCAAGGTATTGTTACGATATTTGTTGAACATGATATTCCTTGGAAAAATTTAATGTCAGTATTACTAGATTCATGTAATGTGATGAGAGGAAGGAGTGCAGGCCTTGAAGTAAAGATGCGTGCCCAGTGTCCTCATCTTCTTGATATTGATGGAGATAGTTGCCATCATGTTCATAATGCAGCAAAGAAATTTTCAAAACCATTTGAGATGCATGTTGAGAGTTTGTGTATGGATATTCATAATGATTTAAAGTGGTCGCCAGATATGCGTGCAATATTTTCAGAAATCTGTAGTGCTTTGAAAGTAAAGTATACAATGCCTCAAACATTCATTTCATTTAGGTGGCTTTCTGTATATGATGCAGCCGAGGATTTATTAAGGCTGTTGGGTGCTTTGACTGTGTTTTACTATTCGTTTTTGTGCACTACAAAAAAGAGTCAGTTCCTTCACATTCTTGTTAGCATCTACAAAGCAAATGATATTGGTAATGAAACTAGAGATCACATCAGACATTTACAGCGAACGCTTTCGCATAAAGTTCTTACGCAAGCAGGCCAAGATCGTAAAAACAGAATTGTTAAAAAATTGTTTGAATGCCGTTTAGAAACACAATTAATTTTAAATTTGTTTGTGTCTGTGTTGTCACTCTTTAAAGAATATGTAAAACTGTTTCAAAGTAGTGCTCCACTTATACATATTTTGCATGACAAACAGTTCTTGTTAGTTAAAAACCTTTTGGCATGCTTTATAAAATCTGAAAAACTAGCCGCTCTAAAAGATTCTTGTAACAAATTCAAACTTTTTAACGTGGAAGATAGAGTTAATCACTTGCCTACAAAATATATATTTGTGGGGGGAAATGTAAAAAAACTGTGCACTTCAGCTCCAAGGTCTCAGTTGGAGACTATTGATAAATTCGAAAGGAATGTCTTAAAAGCATATCTGTCTTGTTCAAAGACGTTACAACAAAAGATGCCATTAGATAATTTACTATTAAATGCAGTTTCAGCCATTGATCCTTCTTGTAGGCAACACTCTCTTTCTTTAAAATTTATGAAAGATCTACCTCATCTGGCAACTAATGTTATTAGTGAAGAGGAAAAGGAGGCATATGACCTGGAAGCCCAATGCTATCATGTTGCCAAGCTACGTCAGCCTGAAGTAGATGAGTCTGTAGATAACTGGTGGATAGAAATTGAAAATTCTGCAAAATTTCCACTTCTGTCAAAAATGGCATGTGCTCTACTTACCTGCTTTCATGGACCCAAAGTGGAGTCCAGTTTTAGCATTATGAACTCCATTTTAACACCAGGGTCCAGTAGGTTGAATGTGGAATCTTTCGACGCTATTCAAACTGTCAAGTATGCATTTACAGCAGAGAAAAAAACGGCAGTTGAATTTTTTCGAAAGGACAATTTCCTACATGAGTCAGTCAATAGAAACCTGTGCAAAAATATGAAATCAGCATACTTAAATTATAAGAATACCAGTGTTTTAAAAAGAAAGGAGAAGTGCGTCAAACAACCACATGCCTCTAATCAAAAATTGATTTCAAAAGAATCAGCAAAGAAGTTGTCTGCAAAATCCATTAAATTGCAAAGAAATATTCATTTAAAGAAAATGCACAAGATTTGTTTAGAGAGAAATGTTCCTTCTCTTTCAACTGAAGTAAATGTCAATGAAAAGTCAGTGAAGGAACAAAGTACAGTACCTGCAAAGGGTATAAATTTTTCTCCTTCAAATAAGCATAAACTTAATGAGAATGTAGCTGAAATATTGGTGAAAAAACAAAAGACAAACCAACCTTCTACAAAACAAAATAAAGGAATGTTTCAAATGACAATCAAAGAAATGTTTACTAAAAAATAATTGTAATATTTAACTACTGGTTTTAGACTTATTTAATAAGTTTATTTTATTTGTATATTATTTGGTAATTTTTATAGCTGAAATTTAATCAATACTAGAAAATGTATTGATACCAATGTATTTGTAATAATATTTCTAAATAATTTAAGTGCAATTTGTCTCTCGTGGGAAATATTTGATTCTATTTTTATAATGAATAAATGACCCCTTTTATGTGAATTTTTGAATATTGTATCTTTTACATGTAATTTTTTTCTTTTGAAAAATTTTGGATTTTCCTCTTTTTTGCTTTCTGTCCACTCTCATCCCTGTTATTGAATACTCAAATAATAATTTTCTTGTGATAAACTTCTTATTCACTGACACAAACTTTCATTTTTTTTGCACCTTAATGAACTTTTCATTAATATTTCTGTAATCAAATATAATGTAAGTTTTTTTAAAATTATTTATAAAAAAGTATATTTTGTAGAATATCAGTTACATTTTTTGGGTGAATTATTTTATATATTAGGAAAATTAATATCGAAAGTCACCTAGTGCTATGACTGTTAATATAATATTGGCTTATCTATTATAATGGAAATTTAAAATTTTTTTATAATTGAACTGAATTGTTCCAGGTAATAAAAAATACATCCCATCTCTTAAATCTGTCTGTAATGAAAACATAAAAGATGAAGAAAACTCATCAAATGCCTCTCTTGTATCTTATAATGGAGCATTTGTTGATATTGGAAAATTGATGGAGCAGTTGGATAAAAGTGAAAGAGCTCGTTTTGAAGCAGATGACAAACTGAAAATGCTGCAGCAACAGTTAGGTAAGCATGATTCATATTTTTTACTCAATGGTTGGTGTGAGAGCACTTATGGTTTCAAAATAAATCCAAGTGAAAAGTTTATAAAAACAGAACAAAAACATTAATCAACATTTAAAAACAAAAATAAAGATTGGTAAGCAAAGTAAATAACCCTCTGTGGCTGAAATGTGAAATATTAAAACATATAAAGGCCTGGTTTCTTAGGACAGGACGCCGTCAGCTGGAAATCAGCGTTAACCTCTGATTGGTCCATTTGTGAGTTTGATAGTATACGTCATCGAACGCTCATCTTGAACTACAATTACCGTCCAACTCAACTGCAGTTGGATTACAACGTGACGTTAACCACAGAAGCAATGGCGGACAACATCCTGTCGCACATTGAAATCAGCCAAGATTTTGATTTTGAGATTAAACATAGCTTCTTCATTAAACATAGCACTCTTCATTTAGCTCAGCTATAATGTGTTTTTTCTTGGACAAAGTCATTATTTGTTCTCTAAAACACTGGTCGACAATAACAAAATCAATTCAAATTCAAAATAAATATTTGTTTACGTTATTAACGCATGCTCAATGAGAGATAATGTCTGCGTTGGACGGACTGCTCACGCTGAGCTAACAAAAAAGTATTTTTTTGGCGTCAGATCTACGTCAACTTTCCGCTGACGCCCAGATAAGGCGCTAGTTCTAAGAAACCAGGCCTTGAGCTAACAAACCAGTATTTTGTTGGCGTCAGCGTGACGTTGACGTCCCGCTGACGCCCAGATAAGGCGCTTGTCCTAAGAAACCAGACCTTAACCGAGGAAAAATCAGCCTAACATAATGCATCAATTCTCTTACTTCCTAAATTATTTAATTGGGTGCATGATCAACTCATTCTCTCTGTTGCTATAAAATATTGACAATCTAATAGTGGCTTAACCTTAAAATGTTAAAAGTAAATGCAGTGAAGCCTGTTTAAGTTGACCATTTGTGGGACTACAATGAGACGCTCCACTTAGAGAAGTGGCCAACTTGCAAAAAGGGAAATGAATTGCTTTAGCTTATTTGGTATTTGATCATTAGTATCAATTTAGACATGTGATCAATTTACTGAGGTGCTCAATTTATAAAGGAGTATATTTAAATGTTCATGATTGTTTGGTGTTTGATCAATAATATTAGTTTAGATGAGTTGGTGAGCAATACAATAAGTCTTATTTAATAGCTAATTCTTGTTTTAGGATCGGCATAGTCTTTTTTTGTTGTTGTTTTTTTTGTTGCTTGGATTGAATTATATATCAAAAAAAAAAAAATTCATATCAGAAATAATTTATGACTATAAGTGGTATGTGCCAAGTGGTTATTTTCAGGGCTTTTATATATAAACAAAAAACCTAGACAAAACACCTTTTGTTTATTCATCAAAAAATGTTTTCAAAGCTAAACTGTTTTTTCCCTTCTTAATTTATAGACAATTAGCACCCATTGTTTTGCTTGATTCATATTTCATTTCTAACACCGTAGATTTTTGTTAACAATATTCAACTTTTGATTTTGTAGAAATACTGTAGAGAAAATTGCATACATCTTTTGTCATAAAAAATTTATATAAATTGATTTATGGCAACAAATTCTACAATGGAGGGTGTTAATTTGATTGTTTTTAAATATTTTTTTTGTATTATGCATAAAATTTTATATTCAATATTAAGACATTTCTCTGTAAATATTTAACTAAACTATTCTTAAAATTGTGTATTAATTTTCTATATTTTAATCAAAAAAGGCTGGTAAGTGTTATAAAATGGTTTTAATTTTTTGGAATTTGTTATATTACTTGGTTATTATTCACATTAATAAATCTGAAATTCGGTTGAAAAATTTAAAATCTGAAAAATCTTATTATATTTATTGAACTAAAATAAGTAAAGCTTTTCTTTTTTCTATATCGAATATTTGGAGGTTGTTAATTATTATAAATTTGTTGTGTTTTACAGATTTTAATTCTGACTTTAGAATTACAGATTTTTTTGGGGCTTTTTTCTGTTGTTTTGGAAAATAACACGTAAGTGCTACCCTGCATTAAAATCAAGATTCGCCATATTTGGCCCAGCCCCAGAAAATTCCAGTGGCTTTTTCAGATTGAGTTTATTTGAAAAAAAAAAAAAAGCAAGCAAACATATCTTTAATCTTAATATCCTCATTTCATGTTAAGTTTTTTTTCCTTCCCATTTTACCAGTTTAAATTGCCTTTCAAATTCATTTTTATTTTGCAATTAAAAAAAAATTTTTTTGAAATTATTAACTGATTTTTTTATAAGTGTAAATTAAAAACTTTGCATGCAAAATTATATGAAGTAAAAGATATTTTAGCTGTCTGATTTTTAGAAACAAAATTTATAGAAAATAGCTAGTGCAAAAAAAAAATAAAAAAAAATTAAATACAGTAGAGAACCGATTATCCGG